TTATATTGGTATAATATTTTTTATAGCAGAAACACTTGGGGAATGTTACGCTTACAAGAATAGCAGCCGTGACGAGCTCTTGGTACTGTTTTAAATAGATTGTGAGTGTGTGGGGTCCAAATATCGTGGAAGCTCCCTCGTATCTTTGGATCTGTAAAATTTCATTCCACTCTTTAAACAATTTCAGGACAATGTAATCAAATGCGATTATGTTTTTTTCGACTGATAAAACGGAACTATAATTAAAGAGGAAAAATTGTATGCACAGTGAATGGATGTAAAATATTGAACTTCTAATGGACAGATAATGAGAGGAGATAATGTATGATAAGGCAGCCGTTAAACGATAGATCGAGGATCGTAAGAACATCGGAAGCGGTAGGGATGGTCTGCGATTTACTTGGTATTCCTCCGGCGTGGTTACGTAATCGCTGTAAGTATTGCAGAGGCCGGCGACTATAACGGAGGTTTCGCTGTCGGACGCATCGTTCATGACCGTTTTGATAGCCTCTCGCAATCTTCTTCCGGACATTGTTGTGAATTCCCCCGGCACACCGGCGATTACTACGTTTCCGATCAACGCGACTTGCGTCGCCACGATTTTCGGCTGCCACTCGTACGGCAAAGTCATCTGAACAGACGTAGACACCATTGCAAAAATAAATATTCTGTATCGTGTAATTACTAAATAAAATCAATACGATTGCAAAATCGAACTTCAATATTTATTATTTATTTAATTATTCTCTTTTTGTTCTGTTGTACATTTGTTTTATTTAAATATGTTTTGTAAGGAGGAAGCAGGAGTAACCCTGTCTGCAATATCGACTTTTATATTATTCTAACTCAGGCAATGATTAACGACTTACGCTTTTATCAAAATTATTTAAAACCTGGAAATTATGAGATCGTTCAAGTCTGATGTAACTGAAAATTGGTCTAATTAAAAGTTTTCTCTAGGACATTTTTGTTCAGGGTCCGCCGTGAAAATATTTTGTCATGTAAGCTTACACGTCCGGTGGCGAGGAGAATCGGCTTAGCGCCGTGGCACTTGATGTCCTCGGCCGTCGGCGCCGCTAACAAGTTTCTAACTACGTTCCACAAGGGATTTGCAGTAGTTGTACCCTGCTCGAATGCAAACGATCCCGGGCCGTCGGTCGTCCCCGCCGCGAAACTGTACCCCATCGCTGGTTCACACCCATGAACCTAATGCAACGTCAATGTTTTGCCATAAATCTCGTGGAAAATTTACTGAGCTCCTAAAGAGTCTTAATAAATATGATATCCAATTTAAAAAAAAATTATACTGCATTATAATTAGAAGAAATACTAGTCTATTTTCGAAAGTGTCACATTTAACAATAATAAGCTGAAAATTTGAATCTTTATAATAAAAATGGTATCCATAAAACCAAATTATTATACTGTAATACATATAATTAGAAGAAATATTAATTTCTTTTTCAGAGTATAAAATATACAAGGAAAAGAAGTGATAGTGCGCGTACCTTCTCGATCTCCTTGCTAGTCTCGTTGTAGAACTCGGCAGTCTGTTCCACCATGTTCACGTAGCGATGAACCACCCGTAGGGGCCCGATCACTTCCTTAGCTTCTCCGTACAGCCATAAACGCTGCAATCACCAAGCAACACGGCTATAGAATCGTGCGATATGTACGAGAAACGCAACGGTACGCAACGCAACGTGCAACGCACGCATGAAGCGCATCCGCCTCGGTGGCCACACCGTTCTCCTCTGGCTTCTGCCTTTATCATGCTAATACGCATCTCTCGAAACCGACCGAACGGCCAACCGACCCTTCGCCTAACCGCGTCACGGATAAAGAGCATGCGAATGTATGTTAATTATCATCTATCTCCTGGTGTTCTCTCTCATCCCCGTTTCGTCGTAACTTGTTAGACGCTGCCGGTGAAAGTCAATCGTGCCGTGAATTCCAAGCCACGAAATTGTATTACGCTCTATGTTTATGCAAATATCGTTCGAAATGTAACACCAACAAACAGGACTCAAATGACGATTTGTTTCACACGTTACATATTAATAACACAATGTTCTCTTCATTAATTAAGATTTGTACTAGAAATTCTATGTTATTATATAAACAGGGTAATATCTTTTATCTCATAAGCCTGTAAAATACGCTCACAATATTCTTAACTGTCGTCATTTCACTCTTCGAATTTTATTCTCTCGTTTCCATCATCGAAAGCTATTATCAAAAAGTTCCCCTTTAAAAGAATTCTATTTGAACGAGAGATAATGATACGTCTGTGAGATAGAATTTTTTATATCATAAACCTATAATATATGTACTCTAAATCAATTTTTTTCGTTACTTTCAACACTGACTATACGGCCATAATATCCTCGACTGCTTACATTTCACTCTTGGAGTTTTATCAAATTTTCTCTTGTTCCCAATATCGGCAAAATTCTCGTTTAAAAGCCCTTTTCACATTCGAGTGAAAAAATGACATTTAATTGAACAATCTCAAAAACCAGCCAAGCCGTAAGCCATCCTTGATCGTTTCGCTGGTTAATTTCACGGAAAATCCTGTCATTCGTCCACCCTTCCTCTGATTCAACGCACATCCCTCTTTCCTTGGAGCGTGGCTCCCACCCCTCGAACTCTATCTCTCGGTTCCATGCACGCGCGTCGTGTCTCTCGGTATCTGAGATCTCATCTTCGCGTGCACACGCAACCTTGCCTTCCGCCACTTTCCCTTGGTCAGGGAACGTAATATCAGTAGTCTGTTGGTAAGAGTGCAACGTGCACGTGGTCAAGAGCGCGACGGACCAAGGAAAATCAGTTTTCTTTCCCCAAACTTTTTGGTCCTTTTATAAAAAATTATATCATCAATCACATTCTTCTTTTTCTCTGTTCTATACATTTTATCATTCTTACAAAATTTGTAAACCTGTTATAACAGACATTTTTCTGTTGAAGTTGAGCATGATTGAAATCCATTATAACAGCTCGTAACTTCATCATATCTGAAGATGAATCGCAGTAGCGAGAGTCAATCATTAATGGGCCAGGCGATGATGGGTAGAAGCGGAGGAAACCGCTGATGATTAATGTCAAGGAGATGGTTCTATTTAATGTCTGATAATGACTCTCGAATAGGAAATTAGAATTACGTCCTACATGTAATTAATTAATTTGCACAGAGCAAAGCAAG